AAATAGTCACCATCTGTCACCATACAACGTTGTTATGTTGTTATTGACTATATTGCTCTTTTCATCTCCGTGACTTATTTTATAACTGGAAGTTTGTATCTCTTAATTATCTTCACCTATTTCGTTCATCAGCCCACCCCTCTTCCCTCTGGCCACCACCAGTTCTCTGTTTATGAGTCTGTTTCTGTTTTGTTGTTTTGGAAAACACTGATTTTTATGAAAGATTTATATACACTTTTATAAGAAATCCAGAGGGTTAAAACAGACAAAAAATTGAGCTCATTTGTTTATCAGCAAGGGAGATGAAGATGGGTTAATGGAATTGAAGCTCTTGAAGAGTGTTAGGTTGCTTTTTCCGCCTAACAGTTTCCTGGCCAGGATTGATACTTTAAGAAAAAGATAAATAAAATTTAAGCTTAATTTGTTTTGTTTAGTAGCCAAAATAGATGCATTCTTGGCTTAAACATTTTTTGACTGGTTAGTGAAACCATTCATAAAGACCTGGAGTGTCTTTTACCCTTTCTTAATGAATATGAAATATTGAGATACAGCCTTTTCCATAAATCAGTGCATCTTGAAATACTTGGCAAACCCCCCCCCATGTTATCAGAATTAAAATATATCACTGCCCAGACTGCTTTTAGAATCTCTCAACCAACATTCCCATTTCAGTTGCTTCTTGTTCCTGTTTTATTTTGAATTACCAAAGAAACTTATTTATAGACTTAGTATGTTTAATGGCTGTGATTCTACCAAGAACAGTATTTAAAGAGATTAATTTTAACTTAACAGGATCTTTAAAAATTGTTTTAAAAATAAGTATTGGGGTGCCTGGGTGGCTTAGTAGGTTAAGTGTCTGACTCTTGATCACAGGGTTGTGAGTTCAAGCCCCAGCATGGAGCCTACTTAAAAAAAAAAGAAAAAGGAAGTATCAATAATAAATAAATAAATAAATAAAAATAAGTATTACCAAAATAAATTTCCTATATCTTCAGTTAGAAAAAAAAAAGCAATTTAGTCTCCCCAACTACATTGTGAACTTGATGGCAAGTACCGCCAAGGCTTCTCTTGTCTTTTAACTAGTTTAATTTTCATAATACTCTCATTTTAGAGATGGGAAAACTCAGGCAGAAAGTTAAGAAAGCCAATTTCCTGTGTCTAGTAAGTGTTCAAGCTGAGATTTGAACCTAAGCAGTCAAGCTCTGTATGGAGTCTGGGCTTGCTGGGTGTCTAACAAGAACTTAGTAGGAACTGTATTTTTTTTTTTTTT